ATTTATTTGAGACAGAGAGAATGAGAGACAGAGAGCATGAGAGGGAGGAGGGTCAGAGGGAGAAGCAGACTCCCTGCCGAGCAGGGAGCCCGATGGGGGACTCGATCCTGGGACTCCAGGATCATGACCCGAGCCGAAGGCAGTCGCCCAACCAACTGAGCCACCCAGGTGCCCTGTAATTTTAAATTATGATTTAGGGTACTTCTTGTAAAATATATATATGCACATACACATACCACACACACATTTTTTTTTTTACTGAATCATCAATCTCTGCCTTTTAATGAACATCTTTATTTCAACTTGTATTTTTGCATTTCCTGCACTTTTTACCACCTTTCTTTTTGATAAATACAAGTGCTAACCAAATATCCCTTTACCAAGAGAAGAACTTACCATGCCCTCATGCCCATGATCTCCCCTCCATCCAATCCTCATGTTTATGAACATACTTTCTCTTATTTCTTTTCTCTGGTTGTGGCTAATTTTTTTTAAGACAACAATCTTTATTTTAGTATTTTGAGCATCTTTACACTCTTACATGTATACATCACATATATCTAATAGCATCTGCTAGATTTGTTTCTCCACTCATTTGAGTTCTTCCTACAGAAATGTTCCCCATGTGGGACTTTGTATGGCTAATCTTTAAAGGTCTTCTATGTTTGAGAATAGTTTAATCATGCTCTTACACTTGAATGACAATTGTCTCCTTAACAAAATTCAAGGTTGAAAGTTACTTTCTTTCAATACTCTCTTAATATTCCAAATGTATTACTTTTTCTTGCAGCTTATGTTACTGTTGAAAAGTACGATGACAATTTGAATTCTGGTCCTTAATAATGTTATTAATTCTCTTGGTAAAAGTTTTTAGATTTCTCTAACTCCGATAGTCTTAAATTTCAATATAATGTAACTAGGTGTGTTTTTTTTTCCTTAACTGTATTTGCTATTCTATTGGGCTTTTAAAGCTGCGATCTTTTATCTCCCTTTAATTCTGGGAAAACTATTTATTTCCTTAAGTATTTTTCCTCTGTTTTTCTCATTTTAAAATTCCTACCTAAGTGCTGGCACTTCTACTTTCTTTTTCTTAAACATATGTTCATTTAATACAATTACTCTGATAATTATGGTTTATTTGTCCATTTAACAAATACTTAACATGGAAAAAAGTTCAGAAAGCTTTAGTAACATGACAAAAATTGCATGACTAAAAAATGACAGACTAGAATTTGAATTCTGCTGTCTCCCAAGCTCCAATTCCCTAAGGGTTACATACCACAACGAGATTTTACCTTGAATGTCACCTCTCAGATCAATTAGATACCCCCAACTTCTTATCACAACCTTGTCTCTAACTTGTTAATAAAATTACTCTCGATGCCTAGGTTCTCCAACTACATGGAAACTTCCGCTACACTGACCCCACTTATTAACATTCATCAGCTTCCATTTCTCCTTTTTAACATAACATAAAATTTCTCATTTTAGCATACAGAATTCAATGCCATTAAATATATTCCCAACGTGTACAACCATCACCATATTCATTTCCAGAACTTTTCATCACATCAATCAGAAACTTGGTACCCATTAAACAACCATTCCTCACACTCCTTCCCTTCAATCCCTAATAACCTCTTTCCTACTTTCTGTGGCTTGTGAATTTGCCTAGTCTATATATGTTACATAAGTAGAATCATACAATCTATGTCCTTTTGTGCCTGGCTTATTTCACTTAGCATAATGTTTTCAAAGTTCATCCATGTTATAGCAGGCTCCAAAATTTCATTCCTTTTTAAAACTGAGTAATATTCCATGCGTGAGGCGAGTGGAGCCAGAGTTGAGACCAGAGGCCGAACTCGGGATCTGACAAGCTGGCCAGGCTGCCCCACAGGATTATCAAGGAAACCCAGCGTTTGCTGGCAGAACCAGTTCCTGGCATTAAAGCAGAACCAGATGAGAGCAACGCTCGTTATTTTCATGTGGTCAATGCTGGTCCCCAGGATTCCCCCTTTGAGGGAGGGACTTTTAAGCTTGAACTATTCCTACCAGAAGAATACCCGATGGCAGCCCCTAAAGTACATTTCATGACCAAAATTTATCATCCTAATGTAGACAAGTTGGGAAGAATATGTTTAGATATTTTGAAAGATAAGTGGTTCCCAGCACTGCAGATCCGCACAGTTCTGCTATCGATCCAGGCTTTGTTAAGTGCTCCCAATCCAGATGATCCATTAGCAAATGATGAAGCAGAGCAGTGGAAGACCAATGAAGCCCAAGCCATAGAAACAGCTAGAGCATGGACTAGGCTATATGCCATGAATAATATTTAAAATCGATTTAATCAAGTGTGCATCACTTCTCCTGTTCTGCCACTTCTTCCTTTTTTGTTTGCATTTAATGGACACAGTCTCAGAAACATTGCAAAATAAAAGCCCAGACATCTTCAGTCCTTCAGTGATTAAATGCACATTAGCAAATCTATGTCTTGTCCTGATTCACTGTTGTAAAGCATGAGCAGAGGCTAGAAGTACCATCTGGATTGTTGTGAAACGTTTAAAAGCAGTGGCCCTTCTCTGCTTTTATTCATTTCCCCCATCATGGTTTGAGTATAAAGTACTGTGAATGAAGGCAGTTGTCAGGGTTAGCTGCAGGGATGTGGGTGTTTTTCTTTATTACTTTTTTTGAGGGGGAGAGGTGGTTTTATTTTAATTTTATGGGCTCCTTTCCCCCTTTTTATGGTAATCTAATTGCATTGGTTAAAAGCAGCTAACCAGTTCTTCAGAATATGCTCTCTAGCCAAGTCTAACTTTATTTAGACGCTGTAGATGGACAAGCTTGATTGTTTGAACCAAAATGGGAACATTAAACAAACATCACAGGCCTCACTAATAACACTGTGACTTTGCTGTCAAGTGTAGAATCCTTCCTTCAAGAAAAAGCTTGTGACCATTTTGTATGGCTTGTCTGGAAACGTCTGTAAATCTTATGTTTTAGTAAAATATTTTTTGTTATTCTTAAAAAAAATAAAAATAAAAGTGAATAATATTCCATTGTAAGTATATACCATGTTGTTTATCCATTCATCTGTTGATGAACATTTGAGTTGTTTCCACTTTTTGGCTATCGTGAATACTGTTATAAACAATGGCATACAAGTATCTGTTTGAGTCCCTGCTTTCAATTATTTTGGGTATATACTTAAGTGTGGAATACGATAATTCTATGTTTAACTTTTGAGAAACTGCCCAACTGTTTTCCGTAGTAGCTGCGCCATTTTGCATTCCT